AATGTATGTATGTATGTATGTATGTATGTATGTATGTATGTATGTATGTATGTATGTATGTATGTATCTTAAAAATTCCATACGAACTGATAACGGAATTTAAATATAAGTATATAAGTCTCATGACGCATAAAAAATGACTAGTACTGTTGTAAATTTATTATACCAATTGTTCTTTCGCTGTATAATTATATATACATACTTTTTTTTAAACTTATTTTAATTTAACTTATACTTTAATTTAATTTATACTTTAATTTAATTTACTTTAATTTAATTTACGTTACAAATTTATATATACTTAGCTTTTTTAATTTAACTTATATATAATTTAAATTAAGGCTAAGGCTAAATTTAGTTTGTATGTATAATTTGTATGCATATATACGATGTTAAAATCTTTTTTTTTTGCATTTTTTGCCTTTTAATTTCCTCTTCAGCCCGTCTCATACCATGGCTTTCTACATACTTTTTTGTAACGTACAAGAAAGCCATGAATTGGCAAAATATTTCCATTCAGGTGATACTTGCTTTTTTCGCGCACCTGGTGAACAGTTTCGAGGAAAAGTACACTTTCAGTTTTTTTTCTTAAAAAAAGACACTTTCAACTTTTATATCAGACCAATTTTGCATCTATTTCAGGCCAACTTTCAAATATTTCACTTGGCATACTTGCGCAGTAGGTGTAATAAGCACGGTACTGATGATGCTGGTGATCGATGCGGCAATGAGTGCTATTGGTGTTATTGTGCTCATGATTTTAATCATAATTCTTCATTATCAGGTTCAGTGATATCTATTTGCCAATGAATTTCTGGAACTTAGTTTTGTAACAGTGTTAGGTCCTCACGTGGTCTTTGACTGCAGCAGCGGAAGACAGCGAAGAGTGCCAGCACTTTATTCTCCAATAAAAGCTTCACTTCAATAAAAAGAGCCGAGCCGAGGTGTCTCACAAACTGTTCAGCAGAAGGGGGACGCTAGAAGTATCGAGGTGGCCAGTTAGTAGCGTTAGGTGGGGCAGGACGTGGCAGACCGGTGATGCGCGTTGAATCCGAGACTGAGGACCATGGTTTTCAGAAGGGGTTTATATAGGGGAAATTAATGGAGGGAAAAGGTGGGCAAGGTAGTTAGTAAGTGAGAAGACAGGTAATATGAACTTATTTAGAATTTGTTTAAACTGTTAGAAATTAGTGAATGGAGGGAAGTAGGTCGAAGTGTTAAGGATTAGTGAGAGGAGGGAAATAGGTTGAATTATAGGGCTACAACAGTTTTATTTAATCTTATTTTAATGTTTTCCTAAGAATGAATTGCTCCTAACAAAATTGATTTAGTATATAATGTTTGGAATTTTTTAGTTTCCTGACACTCTTATTCTATTTCTCGAATGTTCTATATTTTCATTTTTTTTTGTCACTTATTTTAAATCGTTAATTTTCTTACTAAAAAACGAGAAAAGTATTTTTCGGTATGGAAGTGGCCAACGAAAAGCAATATTATAATAATAATTTAGAAGCATAATAAATGTCAGAATTGTCAACAGCTTGACTACCAAACGATGCGTGTTTGTTGAAGCAACTGAAAAAGTTGTCAGTTGTATAGCTGAAGAATCAAATTACGAATTGATAGCTGATCCAAGTACTTCTTGCTTCTAAGCAACTTTCGAAAAAGAACATCATCAACAGCCTTTCCAGCGAGTGGTTGCTTTTGGCATCTGCTACTTCTAGGCTATTGCCCGATTGCCTCCGTTTCTTACGTTGGTCGAATAAGAGAGGGTTTGCAATATCGTCCCTCCCTTTTTCAGGCTTCAGCAGGATCTTGGGGTTCAATATCGCAAGCACTGATCTATCATCAAGTACGAAAGTATCTTCTAATTCTCGATGTCCGTAAAGAACATGTTAAGTATGTCATTTCTACTTTTTTTCCGTTCTTTTTTTTCAATTTTTTGGCGTTTTTGTGAATGTAGAGTTTTGATTTAGGCCAGCAATTTTTGAAATTTACATCTGAACTGTGAAAATGAGGCTAATTTCTTCGATTTCGGAAGAAAATTTAGCCTTTCTGCAGCAGTGTACAAGACGAATTGGGCTGGTCATATGGGACAGGTAAAAGAGACAGCAGATAGGCCAAAAAGCGGATTAAATTGACTGTTGCCTCCACGGAAATGCCAGTATAATACACAAAGAAAGCCATCAGGATCCGTTTGTTTTTTGGGCGGCTATATGGAATTATGTGGATGAAAGAGGCCCACCTTAGAGAAGAGTGAAAAAAATCACGAATAAAAACAGTAACGAGAAAAACCGGGTGATCTAAGCGCAGTGACATTTGCTTGAAATTTTAGATACTGGCGTCCACAGATATTGCTGTTGGTCAGTCGTCCGGCAAGCAGTTGTCCACTGATGGATTTCATAAATGATTTGAAGAAAAGTGGACTGTATGTGATTGGTCATGTCAAAAAAGGTAGCATGGATGAAAGCACTGCGGCCGGCATGGACCCGCTGCATCAGGTGTTTTTTGCAGTGACAAACATTTTGTTCCTCGTTTTTGGGTCAGATTCCAGAAATTTATGTTATTCTTATGATTTAGGGTAGGATTAAGTCTGTTTATAAACTAAAACTTTTTTTTGTTCATCTAAACATTGGCGGATTCAGGGGGTAGAGGGAGAGAGGGGTGATGAGTCTTTCGCCTCCTCATCCACCCCCTTCCCCACCAGCGGCACAGATAGCAGTGCTAAAACTGAAGAAAACTCTCTTCCGTATCTTCGGTTGCCTCCTCTCCCTAGGAGCGTCACTCCCCCCTCCCCTCCCCCACTTTCCTGCGCTCGTCGCAGATGGAAATCCCACTCGTGCCCCCC